ACAAAATTTCGAGACACGTCATCAATTTATTTCCTTCAGCTTCCTAGGTGGAATGAGAGAATATAATCTATCTTTTCAGGCTTGCAACGTTTTTGTTAGTTACAAATCATTTTTGAATATGCCATAATTTTAATACTTGTAGCACAAAACCAGAGCATAGGCATTAGTAATTAACAAAGAAAATAAAACATGTTCCTAGTATTTGAATACGCTCCAATCAGGTCGCCGAATCAATAGCACAGTCTACCTGCAGGATCGAGAGAAATACGCATATATGGTGCTATAACGCCGTCTTAGATAACTGCTTCAACCATTCGTTTGTCGATTCCTCTAGTTAAGGACATTTAAGTCCTGTCTGGTCCTAGGTACGCCACAATCCTGTGGGGTTACTATAATGGCCGACGGGATGTTACACTATCGTTATCATCGCACCCGTCCGGTAGCGCTGTGCCGACTGTGAATCCTTACTCTGAGGTATGTAGAGCTGGATAGGATTCGTCCTATTCCTCCACGAGCCTATTATATATAGCACGCGAAATATCGTATATTGTTACATATCTACGATTTTTTATGAACGATCGTCAAACTGCCTGCCTTCGGCGGAAAAAAGACTGCCTAATGAGCGAACAGATCATTAAGAACACAGATGGCCATACATATATAAACGTCGTGCAGCAAACAGCAGTACCCACAATGAAGCGGTTTAGCACTTCCAGCTGTGAAAAGCGTCTTCTTTCGCGTTACCGTTTTACGGTTAAGGAAATTGACCCAGATGGGTATGTTTGGTCCAGAATTCGGGTCTGTCCGGGAACACAACAGGAGTTTCAGAAACGACAAAAGCAAGCTGGGTTTACCGCCAAATAAACCGAACTCAAACTAAATTAAGTATGCTTTATATATTGATGAACGACATTTGTGCGTTTAGTAATACCGAGATAGATAGTGCCGTGTTTACACTATTTTGGCAATCGAATGGCCTGCTTCGTTGACGATTGCGTTTTCCTTTTCATTCGTTTTTCGTACGTCTCTGCATAGTTTTTTCTCTTCTGACCAACTGAAATTATATCCCTATGGCTTTACGATTCCACTTTAATGCAAACCGTGACCACTAACCCGTTTGTTTTCAAATATTTTATGAATCTTATTTCTCACTATTACGGCTGAATTATTATGTCGCAGTTGCAAGAAAAGAGAGACTCATGTTGAACTAATTGACTTTTCACATATCCTTCTTGCTACTGTTATTCCTATTGGTTTCATTTGCCCAAGCGACCTTCGGTCGTGTCATCATATTTTCATTAGTCAACAAACGGACAAACCCAGCTACCAGCAGGTCCCATCGATTAAGCTACATGTTCTCCCAAAAGTCTATTGCGTTTCGCTGTCCGGAAATTTTCACTGCGCTAGCCAGCCATCCGTCCCTGCGCACGTTGATGATTCGCCCTTTATAGCTTGCGACTCAATCTATCAACTCTAACTTGTTGCTATGGTTCCCTTTTTATCGAACCCACTTAATCCACTCTTTCCTTCGTTAGGTTGCAATCGCTTTTATTCTTTTTATTTTCTGTCCATCTCTCATACACACAGCAAGAGGGTTGCTTCCGTTTACCGAGTGATCGATTTTCTCGGCCTGCTAACAATTTCTAGTCTTCCTGTCGAAGCTCTACTCTACCAGTTACTTCTTGCTTGCCTTGGTCGCGGGCCATTGTCTTAGCAAACTAATGAACGATAGATGTCGCAGTAGCAGGAATGTAAGAAGCAACAACAGGTTCAAGTCTGGGGTTCTGACACCAAGAAAGATATTATACAACCCGTGCTCCACAAAGCAGGTGTGTGTCTAGCACATGGTCATCTAGAGAGCATGGTGCTAAAAAAGATTGATGAAAAGAAAAAGATGAATAAGCAGCTCGCAAGTAATTTTAATGATGAAACGGGACCAACTGGCTGGATTTCTTTTTCTCTAGACACTTCAAATGCCTACGGCCTCTATTCAATGGGTGTTCCATCGATTTCCTAGCTTGTGTCTATATTCTAGCTTCGCCTCGATACCAGTTATGTACACGGACGGGTGCCGATCTCATATTTGCCACATAGACAAGACCCCATTCTCGGCTGCTCGATTTGCTCAATTTGCGGATCGGATCTGACATTTTGTTTTTCTACAGCCGGTCATGCTTTCAGGCATATACGTACCTGAAACGGCCCAAATGAACCAAAACCATCTGAGTGACTGCTTACTTTTGTCGTTGTTTCTTGACTATACTCAGGATTTTTGGAATATTGACTAACTAAAAAAAGGGACGTATGATATAAATAATAATTTTGAATAAATAATAACATTACCAATAGTAATTAGGTAAATGTCAACCCTGCCTATTGACTGGGAAACGTTTGCCAACATGTAGACGGCACCACAGCATTTCACATGAAGTGTGATAAAAGTAAGCATTCGTGCATTACGTCACGTAATGCCATTGATCGATGGACTCAGAATGATCTATCAATAGTTGCACTACCTAAAAATTAATAGTAACATGTATACATAAACCATGTGGCAATAAACTCCTAACACTGAAATCTTAATACGCTTTTATAGTGCTCATCACTTCCAGTCTGACATCAAACGAAAGTCGGCAATAGCAGGTCGCATATGGAATGGCATTAGTAAGCTAAAGCCATAATGTGCCTATTCCTAACGCTTTGAGCAGCACACATTAGACCCTGGCATACAATTTAAGGTTCGGCACGAAAAAGGTTTACATGGGGAGAGAGAAATGCAGTTAAGGAGTTACATTAAATTAAACATCTTGTCATACGACTATCCACTTCTGCAGTCCTGTTCCTCTACGCGATTGGATCTAGTTATGCTTTGTGAATTTTGATGAATCTTGCTTGAAATGCAGATTCGGCGCCCACATAAGCATCAACTAGGTTGGGTCGATCGCCTTTAACTTAGCTAAATGGTCTGTTTTTTAAGACGTTTGGGCCCAACGACTGTAATTGAAGACGCCTCTCAGCGCCAAGGAAAAAAAAACTCATATTTTGAGGTGTTCCTAACTCTGCGCCCACCAGCTCCTACTTATACTGCAGATGGAAGCAAGACGAAAATGATGAAGAGAAATTGCTGCTGGAAGCCGAAAGGGTATCCATAGATTACGAAGGACACCCATACCAAAAACAGCATTCCGACTCTGGCAATAGACATAGCCGATTCCCATGCGTAATGGATATAGCTAGCAGATGAGTTTTTCCCTATTCAACGCTGCTCCAACCTAGGACTCCTACTGACATCCTGCCCTGGCCACATAAGTTTATACGCTTGGAACAGTGTACGCCAAACTAACAACTTAGCTACTTAGTAATTTGTTTACTGTATCTCCGGCGGGGGGGGGGGGGAGACGATCAATGTTTAGACCGGCTGGGGACGAGGTTTATTCGATATGGCAGCGGGTTTAACCACGTCTCACAGCGGAGCGGCATTTCTGGCGAAGTACTAATGCGCATGAATTTTTGTCGTTTATGGCTGTGAGTCGTACTGATGTTATTGATCACATGTTGACAGAGCTTATCCATCAAAGGATCTCAATAATGGACTCGGAGGATCTAGTGGAACTAGATTATACTTTTCAGTCTCAAAAGATCCGTATTTGGCTCTCTTCGACATATATTCAGCCAATAATAATAATGTTAGATACGTGTTTATGTAGACGGCCCTCAGCTTCCATGCATCTTGACAGAGTATCACTTGAACATCCTCTTAGTGATAATGCGACTGTCTCTTGAATGTACGTTACTAATTACCAACTTGATCTTTGACCCCATTAAAGTTTCGTATAGATGACGAACGGCTATTATTTAGGGCTTTCGAGTCTACATAGGAAAAAGGCACTGCGCATATGGTTAAAGGAGTAGCTTTCTTATCCATGTTTTTCTTCGTTCGATTTATAGTACACAGCTGCTGTTCACAAGAATAAGTACCGCATCTTTGAGGTGGAGATCTAGTTTTTATTAAGATGTTAACTATTGTGTACGATGTAATAATACTATGTGAAACATAAGTGGGGTCAACTCTGCGTGATCTATATCGAATTTCTGTTTTGAACCTTGTACCATATTTTCTATAGAAGACTTCATTGCATGCTTCTTATTGGTCGCCATATATATATATATAAAAATATATGCGCATACGTGCAATATAAAATAACAAAAAATAGGCTTATACATACAACACGTTTAGATACAGCTCATTGTTATGTCAGGGTTTTGAGGCCAGGAAAGCTATATCACGTAAATGGATCATCGTGTTTCTTTTCTGATTCCACCTTCCACCAAACAAAAACATCTTAGGGTGTCTCAAGTCGTATAGAGGGTCCATCCACAAACAACTTGGAAATGTCTCCGGTAGTCCATGACATTACATTCCCATTTTTACATCCTTAACCACCAGCTTTGGCCACAGATCAGACCCTGTAAGGCTTATCTATCCTAGATATTTTTACTGTCAGATGGTCGTCCTTATATTTATCAGACCCATTGTCTTGTCAGCATATGGCAGGTTATAGGCCTCACGCGCTCGTTAACGACGTAAGATATATCAGCAATCAATGCTGCTCAGGCTGCTGTAAGGTTAGACCAGCCGGTGCAGGCTTCTAAGGTTTGCTGCGCTACTCTTCTTCTAACGGTTGGGAAAAGGACGCCCGGGACAAGCCTCGAATAAAAGGTCATTCACTGCTTTCTTCTAGAGATGAGGTCAGCTTAATGGACGGCTTTGTTGTGTACATGGTGTCACTGCCCTCTTTCGGAGGTGCCAAAAAAAAAACTAAGCCTTAGGTTTTTTACTATACTGAGCCGGTATCATAAAAGATTTACGTATGTAAGTACGCGTAACGTCGTAAATCTACTACGACTCATAAGGAAATTCGTTCGTACTTATTTTAGGGAACAGAAATATTCGTTTCCTGAAAGAACAAAAATAATTTGTTTGCTCACCGAGCACTTACCTTCTTCGACATCGTTACGGGCTGCTGCCTCGAGCAACATCACGCTTGGAACGAAGTGCACCTTGTACTCAACAAGCCGTCCTCCACCGTTATTTAGCTGCAATTATAATATCGATTAGTTAGAAATTATTATTTTATGTTATAAATTATATTTAACCGTAACAAATCTATACTGCTTAATAATTCCTCTCACACAAGGCCTTTCCTAACATCGTTTTACTATTCCTATATATTACGTAATATATATCAGTATATATTCATAGGAAATTATCGCTTTGTGCAAAACGATCGTCTCAAATTAGCTACCAATCATTCTAGCCAACGTCATTTAGTTTAATCTCTTTTGTCAAAATCGGCTTCTTCTGCTTTGCTGACAAAAGAGTATCGGCCAAAAGGAAAACATAGAAAGCTACCCTCTCTAACCTTGTCGATATACCCATCTTACTGTCATTTGCTAAACCTCTCAACAGGAGGTGCAACCAGCAACAGAAGTAGCTGGAACACCTCGAGGCACCAAGGTGCTTTTTTCATCATAGGACACAAGCGAAAGCAAAAGCGTCATAAACATCGTTAGGTTCTGAATCTGAGTTATTTTACCAGCTGATGGAACTTTTGTTATTGAAAAATTTTGATAATAATAATGCCTATTTCCGTAGAGAGTCAGTTTCATTTGCTGGAAGCTGTAGAACGCAAAAGATGCTGGTAATCTGAAGCACAATTGTTTCAACACGAAGTCCACGAACCATCTCAATTAGCTAATTCAGTGGCCTTTCCTTAACCTCTTCCTCCTAAAAGAAACAAATATTTCGAAAAAGCAAAACTATAGGTGTAACCGTAAAGATCGTGGGAGAAACGGCATGTACGTTGCCCATATCGCGAAGCTGACGTACGTTCAGGTACTACAGTTTAATGCAGTGTGCGTAAAGTTCGAAACTGGATACCTATCGTAGTAGACATATATATATATATATATATATATATATATATACTATTAGTATACCTTGTGCTTCATGCCTAACGTGGCTCGAGCACACGTTTGTTACAAAATCGCCGTAAATAATTGTGCACTGTTCTACTGTATTGTTAAAAAGGAACATTTTCTGAAGTTATACTAATTTTGTAAGATATGCTAGTCCTTAGGGAACGCCTAGGGTGCTATGATGCTAGAAATATTGAACTTTTTAACCACACAAAATTTAACATCCGCGACAATAGTAAAATCAAGCTTTAGTCAATATTCTATAACGCTTTTACTACAGTCTATCGAAATGTTCACCTTCTACCCTGCTTAATTACCGATCATGCTATGTGCCATGCTCCTTCCAGCAGAGATAATACGAGAAATGAACGTCTCTATCCGTTGATTTTTAACAGGAAAAAATATGCTGAAAATTCATTGACGCAAACTCGAACTTATTCATCGTCAACCTTTAAGCCAAGTGCGTTCATCACGGTATCCTTTCAATGCACGATTCTCAAGGGTGCGCTTAACGGTGCATCAGTTCTTCTATAGAATGAAAAGGATACAAAGGGACAGGACAAAAGGGGTTCGGAACAAATTCAAGGTCCGACTCATTCGTCCCTGACTCATTCGTCTACGTTGCTTTTTTTTTAGTGTTTTTGAGGGCAAAATCATGATTAAATGAACTGTATGGCACTCGAAGTCAAGCAGCTGACAGATTCTTATGAAAGCTGTGAGTATAGAGCAGAAAACCTTCGCTAACGCGTCGAAACATGACAGCCCGTCGTATGTGGCCGTACAGAAAAAAAGACAAGAAAAGTCTCTGATGATCAACGACAATACTAAGAAGGGCTAGGTGAAAAAAGAACGAATGATTTCTGCAATGTTACCTTACCTAGTGTGCCTAAATAAATTTCCTTAGCTAATAGGAAGCATTGACTTTTCTTTTATTGCTTACACCGTGACATACAATTGCAGCTACATGTACGCTGTGGATTTAAAGTAGGTAGTTGTGCCGAATATTAGTCTACATAGTTACAAGTCTGGCACGACTCAAAAGACAAACCAAATTGTATATATATGTCTTTTTTTTTTTACAGGTCCTTTTTACAGGTTTTTTTACAGGCGGTCACATGTTTTATAGGCGACACAACAAGTACCATCGCATTGAGTCAACGGTGCGGCTTATAAAACGTCGCTGTAATTGGCCCTGCCTATCACAGCGTCAGTATACTTGCCCCGTATTAAATCAGGCAGCCTAACTGAGACTCAGAATATTTTCTCACCTATGCAGTTATATTTATGGCTGCTACTAGACACGATTTATCGTCGACGAACAGGTCAAAATGGTAGAACCTCCGTTTCTCTAAAGTCGAATAGATTCTACAGAGCCAATACAGAGATAAGGTCAAAGCTTTGTTCGTTCCTAATTGGTCGATCCAAACACATCACTAGTCTTTCCCTAATTCGAATTCCGCCTAGCCTGCTATTCCACAAAAACTGCACCTTTGTTATCGTTGCTTTCCGGCAATGCGGCTACGCAAGATTTTGCCATACAAAAGACCGAAGCCTTATGCGCTGTCTGTCCTTCATTGCTAACTGTCTTCAGAGAGGCCTGTCGACGACAAGTTAACAAAATTGTGTTTGTAAGCCATTATTTCATAAAACATCAATGCAGAACTTGTCATGCACGCCATATTGCTAAGCACAATGAGAGAAACTGCTACTTGATCCCAGGTGGAGCCAAGTACTGTTCCCACCGGAAGCGGTACATGATATGCTGAACTGAAGAAGCGTCGTCTTGTGCATTCATTTAGCGGGCGCGAAAGCCACAGATATCCGTAGCGCGCATTGAGCCTTTGCATTCACACACTCCTTTTTGTATTAGTCAACAACGCCTATGGCAACGCTAGGCCCTTCCAACCAACGACGTTGTCTTTTCATTGAGCTTTAAAATATTACATCCAGTACTCTTCCTACGCGCTAAGGCGTAACGACATCATGTCAGGCTGATTGTTTCCCCATGTGAATTTCTTAGTCGTCACACAGGATGGTGATATACGGTGCTGTGTTCTATTAAAACACAGGCAGATTCTTTTCTGATTCTTGCGGTACCTCCCGGTCGAATCATATCGAGCACAGTCGTATTCGAGTCGGCAGGATAATTCGACATTGCAGAGAGACTTAAAAGTACAAGCCAGGAAACTTCCTGCGATGTCTATATACAAGCGGCTGAGAAGCCTGTTCATTGAACGTATACCCGAAGTCTGCCCAGGCTGTATAGTATGTCCCATGTGCAGTCATAAAGGATGAGAAAGCTTACGAGTGCACTGAGGAAGGATTTCCTTTCTGGTTGGTCCTGTTTTTTTTTTTCGTTTTCCTGGCAGCGTGCTCTAACAATACAACATAAGACTTGAAGACCTTTCTGCAGTCGACATCAAACAACTGGGTCATAGAGAGCCGCCGGCGAACCCACTCCACGTACACTCTTATCCATACAAACAGCGTAGGACCTAAAAGAATGCGGAAAGTTACGTTGATTACGTGGACATACGTCTTTTCCGTGAACGTCCCGCAAAAACAGAAGACCGCTTCAGTAAGACTCGGTGGATGTCGATCTCGACTTAGACAAGGCGTCCTGACTTTTAATGTTTGTTGCCTGTAAAACCCTCAAACTTGGGACCAAGTACAAGCAGCGCACCCTATAGGGGTATCGTCGGCCCAGAAATTCCGCTTCACATGGAGCGAGTTCTATGTTAGCAGCCGACGGGATAATGTATCAGCTTATTAATTTTGACCCCTGTTTAGTCACGTGGATCACCTGTTTCTTTCTCTTTATCACCATTACAGGATGCGCATGTAGTGTACGGTTGTATGCTCGACAATGCGGCCTGTATGCGTGGTCATAAAAGTGTTTAGCCTCCAGAATACAGCCATGCATAGAATGGAAGCATTGTATGATCACGCATACAAAAATAGAAACGTAACAAATATTTTCAGCCGCTCTAAACACTTCCATTTAATATTGCCATACCAGATTAAAGTCACAGGATGGATGTCGGCGGAACAAGAAACAAGCCCGTTCCTGACTGAAGGAAACAAGAGTATTGGGTTGCTCGGTAGCGGCCCGGCTCTTGTCGACCCTTGGTCGTTGCTACCCTTGGGCTAGTGACATACTGTTGTGCTGTTGAGTCAATATACTGCGCTTTTATCGAAACCACTGCCCTGAAAGCGGGTGGGAGCACGTTTTTTTTTTTATATTTTCGAATATTATATAGTTATAATCGTGGGCCAGTGGGGTAATGATTAGAAAAGATATTATGAACATACATGTACACTGCTTGGTTATTTATTTAATGCACTATGCGCTTGCCGGCTTTGTAAACTAGAATAAAAATGTTAAGACACGGTGTTTATGTACTCACCAATGAGAGCGACTTCTATATATCAGTAGCTTACGACTTGATACATTAATCAAAACTTCAGCCGTCAAACCCAAATCCAAAACAGAGAATACGATATATTCATTCAGCTCAAACAACTAAAGTCTTTACGACCGTTTCTAGCGCTGCCGCAAATGTTGCTGTTGTATCCGCTTCCCTTTAGTAACCATATCATGGATCATCCCTACTGCAATATTCCTAGATTTTGAGCGCTGTTTGAGTGTCTCTCGCAAATTAAATAGGCAACGAAATCGGCAGTTCCTCCAATTTGGACCGCGCACGACAGTATCTGAACCGCAATTGATTGCCTACGTCGTGCGGGACTTGGACGGAGGTGTGTATCAAAGACCAGGAAATGGGATTTTCACTGTAAGTGGGGTTGCATTTGCGAGACAACTACGTTACGGAATTAGAAAACTGAGCGTGGGAACTGCTTTCTATGCTTCCAATTTTATTAAGATGAGGCGCTAGCGAACGCACCTACCGCCGACTGCTATTACGTGAAAGCAAGACGTAGAACGTTTATTTTATTTTCAATGCTGATATGCGGAAGTGGGATTTTTGCGCGTGCGAAAGTCCAATGTTCCCCGTTATTTCAAGTACTTTGTCCATAAAGACGCCACAATGGACGATAGTAGTAGAGACGGCTTGTCTCACTTGTTCAATTCTATACCGTTCTTTAACTTCCATCTT